CCCGGCTATTTTTTGGTTGCAGCCGTCATTGTTGTTTGGCGGGTCCGGGCTGGGGATTCGAACCCGCCACCTTAGGTGTACGTGGCTGGCACCTTAGCCGGTTGAGCTATAGGCGCCGAGCCTGTCTGTTGTTTTAGTAGGCACATGAATAAAGCAGGGATGGAAGCTTGGAGCTTTCACGTTTGAAAATAATAGCTGTTGTGATTATTCAACTACATTAACCTAGAGAACAAAAGACAAGAAACAAGAAACAAACAAGTTAAACATCCATCACAAGGGAATTGGTTAAATAAAGTATGGTACATACTTATAGTGGCAAATTATACAGACATTTAGAAAGTGATGCAGAGCTATATGTGTAGATAGTGAAAATGGCCATTATATATTATTAAAAGAAATAGATAATTATAAAGAGTATTAGTATATAGAGTATGGTAGCGTGTACATAAATGGGAGAATATGTTGGTTAAGTCATATGAAGTTGCCAATATTTGGCGATTTCTGATCTATGAGAATAGCAATTTCATAAGGTTCAACAAATTACATATATATGCTTAAATATGTCCAGGAAAATGTCTGAAAAGTTTACATAATAACTCTCACTTATCATTACTTGTACTGGTCTGTGTGTTACTAAGTTTCAAGGGTGGGGAATGAAAAAGAATTTGAATCATGAAAATGAAACAGTCATCAACTTTAGTTAATTTTTCTTTGTAAACCCCAGGTTAAGTACTATTATTAGATGAAGGCAGTGGAAGTTACCAAGTAAAATGAGTCAGAAAGGAAAGTTTCTGGAGTTCATGAGAACTTCTACTGAATCACTGGGTTATAGTTTTACCATAAATTTCCTCTTGCTCCATCCTTATTGAAATGACTCACAAACTATAATAAACATTCTTGGCCAATTATTTCAGGTTGGCTTTTTATTAGCCTTGAAAGAGAACATCTTTAATCTTTCTTTTAAATGCCACCTTTATTGAGGTGTAGTTTACATATAATAAAATTCACCAGTTTAAAGTGTCCAGTTTGATGAGTTTTGACAAATATATACAGTCACGTAACCATGACCACCATCAAGATAGCAGACATTTTCGTCTCTCTGTAACGTTTCCTTCTTCTCTAAGTCTTATGGTTTAGCTTTGTTGCTTCAGACTAAGATCCATTTTTGAGATAATTTTTTTTTTTTTTTTGAGATAGAGTCTCACTCTGTCACCTGGGTAGAATTCCATGATGTCGTCATAGCTCACAGCAACCTCAAACTCCCGGGGTCAAGCAATCCTCTTGCCTCAGCTTCCCTAGTAGCTGGGACTATAGGTACCTGCCATGACAAGCAGCTCATTTTTCTACTGTTAGTAGAGACAGGGTCTTATTCTTGCTCAGGCTGATCTTGGACTCCTGAGCTCAAGCAATCTCAACCTACCTCAGCTTCCCAGGTGCTAGAATTATAGGCATGAGCCACCACACATGGCCTGAGTTCATTTTTTTTCATGGTATAAGGTAAGGGTCGAGGTTTATTTTTACCCACCTTTATGGATATCCAACTTTTCCAGAATCATTTGTTGAAAAGACTGTTCTTTCCCCTTTGAATTACTGTACTGGTTTGCTATGGCTGCCACAGCAAAGTACCATAGACTGGGCAGCTTAAACAACGAAAATTTCATTTTTCACAGTTTGGGAGGCTAGAAGTCCAAAATCATGGTGTCCCAGGGTTCTAAGGAAGGATGACCTCTCTTTGCTTCTTTTAGCTTCTG